AGTTAGGAGCGATCAGACAGGCAGGCAGAGGCAGTTAGGGGCAATCAGGCAGGCAGGCAGGTGAGTGATTAGGAACCAGCAGTCCCAGATTGCGAGAGGGATGTCCGACATCCCCCAAGGGGTCCCTGATTAGAGAGGGTGCAAGTTGGGCTGAGGGAACCCCCCCATGCATGAATTTTGTGCACCAGGCCACTAATACACACACACACACACACACACACACACACACACACACACACACACATATATATGCCTAAATGACCATAATTACCAGTGGACCAAATGACTGGTCAACGGGTCGCTATGACACACACCACAGGAGACAAAAGCTAAACATAGGAGCTGCCCCTGGGGCTTAGTACGTTCCCACACCCAACCTCCTGTGGCCAGCCAACCTCCCATGGTCTCTCCCCCTGGACTAGGTGAGATGGCCCTCTTTGGCCCTGATTGTTGGCCAGGCTGAAGGATCCCAACCATGCACGAATTCATGCACCAGGCGTCTAATTTATACACACACACACACACACACACACACACACACACACACACATTTAAGTCCTGGCTGGTTTGGATCAGTGGATAGAGCATCAGCCTGTGGACTGAAGGGTCCTGCTTTCAATTCTGGTTGGGGGCACATGCCTGGATTGCAGGCTTGATACCCAGTAGGAGGCATGCAGGGGGAGCCAATCCGTGATTCTCTGTCATCACTGATGTTTCTATCTCTCTCCCTCTCCCTTACTCTCTGAAATCAATAAAAATATATTTTTAAAATACATATATGCATAGCCCATGGGCACAGACAATAATGTGGTGAGGTCCTACAAGCAATGGGGGCAGGATAGAGGAAAGCAAAGGGGGAATGGGCAGAGGGAACATGGGGTACATCTGTAATTGATTCAAAAATTAAAAACAATAGTGCACCCAGCAGGTGTGGCTGAATGAATGAGTATATATATATATATATATATACATACATACACACACACACACACACACACACACATTTAAGTCCTGGCTGGTTTGGATCAGTGGATAGAGCATCAGCCTGTGGACTGAAGGGTCCTGCTTTCAATTCTGGTTGGGGGCACATGCCTGGATTGCAGGCTTGATACCCAGTAGGAGGTATGCAGGGGGAGCCAATCCGTGACTGTCTGTCATCATTGATGTTTCTATCTCTCTCCCTCTCCCTTACTCTCTGAAATAAATAAAAAATATTTTTAAAAAGGTATATACATATATGCATAGCCCATGGACACAGACAATAATGTGGTGAGGTCCTACAAGCAATGGGGGCAGGATAGAGGAAAGCAAAGGGGGAATGGGCAGAGGGAACATGGGGTACATCTGTAATTGATTCAAAAATTAAAAACAATAGTGCACCCAGCAGGTGTGGCTGAATGAATGAGTTTGGACCCATGAAGCAAGAGATCACTGGTTCCATTCCTTATAGGGCACATGCCCAGTGTGGGGGCTTGATCCCAGTAGGGGGGCATGTAGGAGGCAGCTGATCAATGATTCTCATCTTTGATGTTTCTCCCTCTCCCTCTCTAAGAAACCATTAAAAACATTTCATTTTAAAAGGAATAGTGTTAAGATTGAATTGACTCACCCTAGCTAGTTTGGCTCAGTGGATAGAGCACCAGCCTGTGGACCGAAGGGTCCTGAGTTTGATTCTGGTCAAAGGCACGTATGTGGGTTGCAGGCTAGATCCCAGGCCCTGGTTAGCATGACTGTGGGAGTCAATCATTAATGTGTCTCTCTCACATGGATTTTTTTAAAGTATATTTTTTATTGATTTCAGAGAGGAAGGGTGAGGGAGATACAAACATCCTTGATGAGAGAAAATCATTAAATCGGATGCCTCCCGCACACCCCCTACTGGGAATAGAGCCCACAACCAGGGCATGTACCCTCCACAGGAATTGAACCCGGGACCCTTCAGTCCACAGGCCAATGCTCTATCCACTGAGCCAACCCAGTTAAGGCTCATGGATGTTTTAAAAAAGAAAAAGAAAAAAAGATTGAATTGACTCAACACCACCAAAGTGAGTGTGGGCCATCACATTTTCTCCCAAACCATGTAAGCAAAACCATGCCTTGGTCTATCTTTATAGAAGATGTCCCAGGCATAACCGTGAGAACAGGAAACAACCTGGAGGCGGTAGGCCTCAGGTTGCCCTGTAGTGTTTGATTTTTTACTTCATGCAGAAAAGATTTCACAGCATGAGTTCAGAAGATTTTGAGAATACGTTTATTGAAGCTGGGGATAGTGAAAACAGGTAGGCATCAGGATAGAACAAGCAACAGCAGAGCAGGGCTCCTATGGCTCTAGGAACATTGTGGGAAATAAGGGAGCCAAAGCGGGGCTGCGGTTAGCTCACTGGACAATCAGAGAAAAGGTGACCTTCAGTGCAGGTTCATGGGCTCAGCCTGGGATGAGCTGCTGCTGCTCATTGCTGCTCTGGTTGCAGGTCAGGTGGGGACCCTTAAAAGTTTAGGTGATCCAACTGGCGTGGCTCAGTGGTTGAGCACTGACCTATGAACCAGGAGGTCATGGTTTAATTCCCTTTCAGTGCACATGCCTA